TAGATAGATAGATAGATAGATAGATAGATAGATAGATAGATAGATAGATAGATAGATAGATAGATAGATAGATAGATAGATAGATAGATGTTGTGTGACTTGAAAGAACGTGTTTGATTCCCTCCTCTCTGTGTTTCTGTTCCTGAACAATAATATAAGTGGTGAGAGTGAGAGTGAGTCTAAACATTTCCTGACACAAAGGCCTTTGGCAGACATATTAAGATAAATAAGTAATTGTTGAACTACTGCAGTCTTACGTATTTCTTTGACAAAGGAGGTGCACTTTGGCTGATGCATCAGCAACCAGACAGTATGTCTCCTTCTTTCTGTATTGATTATTATTATTATCATTCCGCAGACCCATCCATTCTGTTCATCTCATTTGCCATTTATACCGTACGAGATACTGCACTTATGGCTGCGATTCACTTTGACTTGATGGACGCCACATCCTTTATGCTAAAGTATGTTTTTGGGTTTGATCGAACACGGCATATGTTTATCTACCCTGCCCTTACATGGCGCTACCCTGTATGCCACTTTGCATGGCAATCCCTCCAAGCTACCCACCATGGCACTCACATGCGCTACTTGTGGTAAAGACTATTTCTAATTCATAAAAGCCAAAAGGATCGATACAAAATTCATGAACAATCTGTCCTCCAACAGCCAGTGATTTCTGTGACTGTGGGGCAGTGTAGACATGGTGCGACAGAAAGGAAAGTTCTGCCTCCCCTCATTTTTACAGAGAAACACACTCATACGTCTGCACATACAAATACAAACAAAGAAGACAGGATAAAAAGAAAAGAGCTCCTTTTAAACTTTTATTATTTAAAGAAAATAAGACCCATAAAGCAACTTCCACTTGGTTTTGAAAGTAAATAGAATAAACAAGAGACAATAAATAATCCCAATTTAAAGCTTTGTTTAGTCCTCTGATATGTTGTAGTCCTGCCCAAATATAGACAGTGCATTTCTATGAATTTAGATAGAAATTGTTTAAAATAGGAACAGAAATAAACCAATAGTTTTGTTCTTAGTGTTGCTCTGGATCCTTTCTGCACAGCCTCATTTGGGAGTCAAACAAAATAAACTCTTTACTGTTCTACATACAGGCCTCTGTATCCAGTGGAAATGGGAATAAATCCCATTTGCCATTTCACTGACACCAATAACCCAAACGTTTCTTAAATAGGCCAGACAAAAATTATGTGAAAAAAAATGCCACATATACTCAAGCTCTGTATGTCCTAAAAGTGACATATTTACTATCTCAGCATCAATGTTTTGAATCTGTTTCACGTCTGATACCCTACATATAGCAAATGAGTCGGGATCCTGATAATTGTTAATTCACATTGCCATCTGCTGGCGAAACCACACATCATACGGCCATGAAGCTATAGCTCAACCAAACTATCCACGATTCCACCAATCAGGTTGAAGGGTTTAGGTGGAGCTCTTGAAGTTGAAGCAAAAAACAGGAAGTTCACACAACAATAACAGCAGTTTGGAAACTTTTTTTAATCTCTAAACCTCTCCCGGCTGTAACTTTTTATATTTATATTTTTTTAACAATTCTCTTGATTTAGTGTGAATTATAATTTAATGATTTGTGGAGCCTGGTGTCCTGGCAGTATGGAACTATTCCAGCACCGTTTGTTTACATGGTGAATCAGCTGACAAGCTAATGTTAGCAGCCTAGCTTTTAAAATTGGAGTCATATGAGCTGGTTGTTATCAAGTAGCTTTGTCCTCATGAATGAATCGCTACGTTAGAGAAAGAGTCGACTTACACATTAGTAAAGGATTGTTTTAGAGTCGCGGTTAACCGATAGGAGGGTAACAGTATGCTAAGCTAACGTAAAGTGCGCAAAGTGTTGAAGACGTTGGTTCAGGTCTTTAGTAAAAGAAAGGGGTGCCCTGCAGTGTCTCTGTGAAAGATGCCGTGTTCCTGTGGGAACTGGAGAAGATGGATCCGGCCATTGGTCGTTGTGTTGTACATCTTGTTGCTCTTAGTGGTCCTGCCGTTGTGCATCTGGGAACTGCAGAAGTCAAAGGTCAGTGCAGTTTTGCTCATGCTTCTTTCTGGGGAGATCTGTTGGTTTAACACAGAGATAACACTGGTTCTCAAATCCTGCACTTGAATACAGTTGTGAGTTGTTACAGTAGTTATGTGGCGTTGTGTTATTTTGAGTACAACTGTGTATAAAGACAAACATGTTCACCATCAACTGGCTACTTGCTATCATGTACATTAGCAGCCGGTGAGCTCTTCATTATTAAGCACTTATTAATGCATTTGCAGACCTACCAGTTTGTGCAGTAATAGCACAGTGCTGTGAAAAAGTATGTCCCACCTTCATGTTTACATCCCCACGTACGTGTTTCAGGTCGTCAAACAAATTTTAATATTAGACAAAGTTAAACCAAGTAAATACCAAATACAGTTTTTCAGTGATAATTTAATTTATTAAGGGCAAAACTATCCAGATCGATCTGGCACACTGTGAAACAGTAACTTTCTCCCCTCTGTTAAATCTTGAATTAACTGTGATTAACCCCCTTTTTTTTTTTTTTTTTTTGGAACGCTGAGTTCAATTTAACCGACCTGTTAAATCAAGAAATCATATAAATTACACCTATCAGCGTAGCAGGCTAAAAATCTCACCTTTTAGCCTGCTTCATAGTATCATAGCTCGATCTAAAGAAACTCAAAACAGCTGAGGATAATTATCCAAAAATAGAGAATCCTTGGAGCCGTAGTGAACGTCCCCAAGAGTTTTCAGCCCACTAAAATAAGAGTGCATTGACATTAAGACAATTCAGCAAAGAAAAGGATCGCCCACCCAGGGTGTCACAACCAGTTATTTGCTTTGGGGAGCAATTACATTTTCACGTAGAGTCAGGTAGGTTTGGATAACTTCCCCCCCCCCCCTGAATTAAAGAGCTTGTCGTTTAAAAACTGCTTTATTTATTTACTCAGAATATCTTTATCCAGTATGGAAATTTGCTTGATGATCTGAATCATGTAATTGTGACAAACATGCAAAAAAAAAAAAAAACAGGAAGGGGGAAAAATACTTTTTCATAGGAATCTATATTAAGGATGTTGAGAGAGTAATGCTAAACGCTAAATAAGGTATTATTATATATGTTTTATAACTGTTAAGATTGCTGATGTTTTACATATTAACAAACTAGTCAATGACAGACTTTGAAGTCTTGTTTTATTTTTTTAAAAGTCATAAAATCTGCTAGAGTAATATAGATAACCTTTTTTATTTTTTTAAATAACTACCATCTTCATTGTTCTTCTGGTGTGTTCAACTAAAACAGTCTTTCCTTAATTGTACTTTCTTTAAAAACTAGCTTTATCCAAGTCATCACACTGCACTGCAATTTAGTTAAACACGTCCCCTTTATACGGGACTTGAAATTAAGTGTTTTTACATGGTTGTAATGTTTCTGTACTTCAGAATCTGAATACTGCTTTGATGATACCCTCCAAGACTCCAATGGCTAAATGACTTAAATGTTGTTGACTGTTCCTTTCCATGTCCCGGCAGGTTGGCACTCATAACAAAGCATGGTTCATCGCTGGGATTTTTGTCTTCATGACCATACCCATATCATTATGGGGCATCCTCCAGCATCTAGTGCATTATACTCAGCCAGAGCTTCAAAAACCTATCATCAGGTAAAGATCTTAACAGTCATTTTAGCCACAAATAGGAGCCCAGAACAGATGTTTAACGCTTTTGTGCTTTCTATTTAAAGGATATTGTGGATGGTTCCAATCTACAGCTTGGACAGTGTGAGTTATGCATTTTTTTTAATGAAAGCCATCGCACACCGGTTTATGAGTTTATATATCCTCATAGCTTTTCCTGTTATTGTTCCCTTTTCATCTTTTTTTGTTTCCAGTGGATTGCACTGAAATACCCCAGTATAGCAATATATTTTGACACATGCAGGGAGTGCTACGAGGCGTATGTCATTTACAACTTCATGACGTTCTTGCTTAACTACCTGGAAAACCAGTACCCCAACCTGGTGTTGATGCTGGAGGCTCAGGAGCAGCAGAAACACCTGCCTCCCCTCTGCTGCTGCCCACCGTGGCCAATGGGAGAGTGAGTTCCCTTTAAACTTTTTCCTCTTATGTCAAACTGTAGCTGTCAGCAGGTTAAATTCACTGACCCAGAGTTTAGCTGCGCTCAAGTGTTGGTCATACCTTTGCTGTAAAAACGATATTAGTTAAGCATTACCATCTGTTTATACTTTGACCCAAAAATGTTAGTTTTATGGACAACCTACTGACGTTTTACTGGAATTATTGGCCATAGTCATGTTTCCTTACTGTATCAATGAAATGGCCACAATTTAGAGATTTAATCTGCATCGGTCTTCTTGCACAATGTTTTCTCTTTCGATGTATTTTCATTTCAGAGAGGTTTTGTAAATTTAAACGGATGAATGAAATGAAACGGGTTCATCTTAATGTACTAAACTCTTGGAGCTCAAATCTTCTTTTTTTTTTCCTCAAAGCAAACAAATCAGTGAAAGTCACAAGCTTCAAATTAGCCTCAATCACACAACATCTGTAATTGACAATTGGTCAAGTGTGTTGTTAATTTAGCCCAGATTTATTCGGGTGACCTTTGTATATAAGAGACTGGTGTAGATGTATAAAAAGAAGTACTAATGGCCAGCATCAGCAACCTCATTGTTTAAATAGGAATACAAATACAATGTGGCTAAAATGGGCCATAACTTAGTTTGCGTTGAGGACGACACAAACTAAGTTCAGTGTTAACTGTTATCATCAAGCCGGACTCGGGCTTCTGCCCAAGTGATCCTGAGATACTTCTGCTCACCAGTCTTGGGATTTTGCTTGGAATTTCAGACCAATTCACTTCTAATTCAGATGATCAAATTCCTCTGCAGGGTTCTGCTGCTGAGATGTAAGCTGGGAGTGTTGCAGTACACAGTAGTAAGACCTGTCACCACAATCATTGCTTTGTGAGTACCCTCTGGTTGTTACATGCTTTATTCTTTAACTGTAGTCACATTTTGTTTGGTGTCTGTTGATCTCAGCTGCGCGTTTCTCTTCCTTTCTAGAATCTGTCAGCTGTGTCGAGTGTACGATGAAGGCAACTTCAGTTTCAAAAACGCCTGGACATACCTGGTGATCTTCAACAATATGTCACAGCTGGTAATGGTGGATCTAAATCCTGTTAAAAGTTGGACTAAAAATTGTTACAAGCATTCCCTTCCTTCATTCCCATTCCTTTCTATGTCTTCTTTTGATCTAGTTTGCCATGTACTGCCTGGTGCTCTTCTACAAGGCTTTGAGAGAGGAGCTGAATCCAATCAAACCAGTCGGCAAATTCCTGTGTGTGAAAATGGTGGTGTTCGTCTCTTTCTGGTAAATCTCAGTGTGTTAAAACTTCATGACATGACCCAAATATTTCTGAAAAAGTCATTTAAAACAAGGCTAATGAAACTGTGATTGCTGTAAATCGTTTTAGGCAAGCTGTGGTCATTGCTTTGCTGGTTAAAGTGGGCATTATCTCAGAGAAGCGCACATGGGACTGGCAAAGTGTGGAAGCTGTAGCTACTGGCTTACAGGTACGTGAGTATAGTTTAAACATTCTGACCAAGGTCAACAGAACTAATATATCCCATGGGACCTAATAGTGCAACACAATGAAGCTGTCCACTTTTTTTCTTTAGGATTTCATCATATGTGTGGAGATGTTTCTCGCAGCCATTGCCCATCACTTTAGCTTCACCTACAAACCTTACATGCAGGAGGCCGAAGAAGTGTCTTGTTTTGACTCTTTCATGGCAATGTGGGACATCTCCGATGTCAGAGCAGATATTTCTGAACAAGTCCGCAATGTTGGTACGTGTTCCTGCTGTTCTATAAGTGCTATAGTACCATAAGCTAGTTGGTATCGTTGATTATTTAAGCTATTTTTCCGACTGTTTGTATGGTTTTGTGATTGCAATGCTAGAGTTGAGATCAAAAATGAGGAGCCAGTTCAACAATAAATATTGTCTGCAAGATGATTGCTTGTTACTTATGCATAACTACTCATAACTTATGTATAACAGGCTATACTGAGAAGGGAGTGCCTCAGCAGCGATTTTTAAACACAATTTAAAATGTGTAGTTAGAATAACATTCAGAATTTAAAAGATTGTGGAAAAGGTGCATGTTGGAGCCGGTACTTGCTTGGCTTCTTTATTTTAGGTTCCCTTTACTCAGTAGTCACTGATTGTACTAAGTCCTGTGCAGTTTTCTGACTGTACAAAATGGTAATGGCAATGACCACGTGATGGTTGTGATCCCATCCAAGCAAAACAGAAAAAACTCAGAGCAAAAACACCTACCAAAACCATCTGTACTGTAGATGTACCTGTGATAATCTAGAACTGACTACTACACACTGCTACATGAATAGCATTGTTACTGGTGTGAGCCATCATAACATGATCTTTACTGCATCCTCTCTAAAAAATATTTAATAGTTTCTCTTTGTCCACATTTGCAGGAAGAACAGTTATGGGTCGTCCGAGAAAGTCCTACTTCAATGAGGCGCAAAGTGATAGTGAGCGATCCGGCCTGCTCTCTTCTGCGTCTCAAGATGCCATCACCGAAGCAGCTTGTAATCCAGTTTCTCCTAAGGGTCACTATCAGGGCCTGGGCAGAACCCCCGCTCCACACTCTTTGTCAGCACCCGCTGGGCTCGGCTCAGCCCTGTGGGAGGAAGGGTGTGAGGCTCGACCTGAAGAAACCCAGGATGAAGAAACTACCAACCAAACCAAAGACCCGACAGAGGCAGATCTCATTGTGATCACCTAGCTTAGGTGTCGCAAACAAACTCTGCCAGACATGGTTGGGCAGGGCCCAATTATAGCCTTGCCACATTTTTTCAAACGTCACTGATGCAAACAAGACAAACTCATTTAAAAAGGGCACAATGACCATGTAGTAGTCAAAGTCTAACAAAAACATGCAAGACATAATGGACCGCTTCCAGTGACAGCTTCAAGAATGTTTGGAGATTTAATGGCACTAAACGACTAGTAAGCAACGTCATTTTGCTGTTTTATGTTTTATTAGAGAGTAGGCTAAGCTAGAATTGGTTTTACCCAGGAAAGACACAAGATCAGACAAAACATGGCTCTCACCGAAGAATAAGTGAAATATGGAAAAATGTTTTCCCAAAAATGAAACTATACAATTTTACGTGTCATTCATGCCGTAATCTCAGATGTGACGAAGAGGGAAATATGCAACCTTTTAAATTGAATGTCATGCTTTTACTGGTTTTTGAAAAACTGAAAACCTGCACTACTATAACTGTCGCGCTAAAGCAGAGATATCTGCAGTCGTTTCGTTCTAACTAGTCGATTCCAAGGGGAGAAAAGAGCAACACGTACCACAGTTAACTGTGGTACAATGATGTGTACATCACTAGAGGGGTCATAACTGACAATATCACACAGTATCAGTATAAATGTAGTATACTCCATTTCAGAAGAGTACGAATATATACAATTAAACAATCCTAGTATTATTAAAATCACAATTCAGTTTTAAAAAGTACAATCAGCACCTTCTGGTTGGCTCTTATCTATGCTTTAATGCGTACAGCTTACTCGACAGTTAATAAAATCCGCTAGTCTTCGCAGATGCCTTGTTCTGTGTGCTGTGTAACTAGTCTGTTTACACATCCATGTAGAATGTGTTTTATTTTTCAATCTGGGATCATTTATTATTTGGTGAGATGTTTTCTGTCTCTTGTAAACTGAAATAATTTTGCACCTGTTGCACTAAAGCCATTTGTTTTTCCATAGGTTTTTAAAGGATCCTTCTTTGTGAATTCACAGATTTGTTCAGGGATATTGCCATCGTTAATGTACAGTTTTGGGATATCAGTGTGTGGCACAGCGAGGGGTAACTGGCATCATGCCTGACTCTGGTATGTCGCACTGCCTTATGGGATTTTCTTTTTCTTTTAAAATATGACTGACGCAATTGCATCAGATCCGTCGTTCTACATTCTGATTTAATTCCATCTCAGATATCCTCAATAAATCAAATGAAATATGACTTCGTTTTTCTTGCCTTTATTATAAAAATGCAACATTTATGGGTCAAGTGCATGATGTTTACAAAAAACAACTGAGTCAGTAATTAAGGGCTAATGTTTTTATTATCTACTTACAAATGTAAGTACAAGTCCTTGTGGACCTATTTTCCTTATACAGCAGGCTTTTTACTTAAACTTCTAACAAGGGTTTTTTCATGCAGGGAGTTGCTAAACTGTGATCCCAATGTTTTGAGACTAGTACTACATGAAAAATGTCAATAGAGAAAGGGCATTAAAAATACTAGGAATGTAATATTAGCAGCAGTGTTCTTTGAAATATACTCTCAAACGTATTCTGCAGACAGTGCTGAGAATATTGTAAACAGGCTGTGAACTGCTGGGCAAACATGATGACACAATTTCTACATGCAATTTACCGCAAGCATCTTTTTCTGCAGTATGATCTGTAACAACAAAAATGGCCATCAGACAACAAGTACACCGACTCTGATACATCTGACAGACCAATACTGTCTTTGTTATCAGTCAGCCGATACAACGGTGGGCTGAAATGTATTACAAATAAGCTAAAATGTGAGCGATTATCACTCCATCTGCTGAGGTGTGCTTTCTATATGGGCCAAAATGGAGATGGTGCTTTTGTGAAGCTTCACGGCGAGGCGGACCCACTCTCCTGCTCGTACCTCCAGGGGCTGCTGCAGAACGACGGCGGCCTGCTTCCAGTGAGCAGCCTGGCCGAGGGTGCTCACGCTGATCTCTTCGTCCAGGTAGATGTGATACCAGAAGGGAATTGCAGTTATTCTGCCTGTAGATGTAGCCTGGACCTGTTCATTCAGAACCAAAGAAGCAAAGTCAGAAAGTTAAGTGAGGTTAAAAGTTTTTGGGGGGAGACAAATACAGGTCTGACTCATTTCTACTTCTTTTTTCATGCTTGTGAATTTTAATCAGCAGATTTAATGTGTAAATTAATTTTCAGCACTTCAGCCCTGTTCTATCACAGGTGACATTTCTTTTTCAATTTATTTACTTTAAAAAAAATTTTTTAAATACATATTTCAGTCATGATGCGATCACTGAAAGTACTGATGCACAACTAACCTTGACTTCTCTGTTAATGTAGTTTGCGTTGGCATCCATGAGGTTGAGAACAAAGAGCTCTACAGATTCACTGAGGTGTCTGCACTCCAGTGTGGAAAAGTCCAGAAACACATGGACCGGTACCTAAAAAACATAATAAAGGAAAGGGAACAATTATGTTGCATTTCATTCACCCACAACTGAAAAAAAGCCTTCCTAACATTAACAAATACTGATCGTGTCAACAAATGCCATAACTACTATAAATACTTATAGGTACTCTAAATACTTACCCATAAATACGATTACCCAGTATGGCCCAGAACAGGCATTTATGCTTTGAAAATGTCACATAAACGCCACTTTACCAGGTACTTCCTGCAAGTACCAGGTTGGACCCATTTTCCTTTACTGGCATGCATGTGGTCTTCTGCTGCTGTAGCCCATTAACATGTTATGTATTCAGAACAAGTAATTTTTTGAAGTACAGTCACCTTCCCATCGGCTGACCTCCAGCATCAATGAGGCATTTTCACCCAGAGAACTGCTGCTCACTGGATATTTTCTCTTATTAGGACCATTCTCTAGAAACCCTAGTGATGGTTATGTGGGAAAATCCCACCAGATCAGCAGTTTCTGTCTGTCACCAACAACCATGCCACATTCATTTAAATCACCTGTCTTCCCCATTCTGATGCTCAGTTTGAACTTCAGCAGGTCGTCTCCACCGTGTCTACATGCCTAAATGCAACAAGGAGCTGCCATGTGATTCGCTGATTAAATATTTGCTTTCATAAGCACTTAAAACTAAAAATAAAGTGGCTGGTAAGTATATAAGCTCTAATCTTGTGTGAATCTCACTCATGCACTGGCTCTGAAATTGGCACTCAGTCACCAAACTTTTAAGAAAAAATTGAGAACCTCTGACATAAACACGTGTAAGTAAGCTTCAGGCAGAAGATTAAAAAAGGAGCTCTTGTTGAATCTTTCTTATTATTTCTTAAAAGAAGAAAAAAACTGTTTACTTCTGCTAAAGGTACAGATTATTTTAAAAATTTAATAGCAGGCTAAGATTAAAAAGAATAAAGGAACAGCTAAATTGACTCACTGTTGTTGGTCTCAAAAATTAGTTTTTAACCACACAATGTTATTTTCAGCAGGGACCTCACTCCCTCACGGGTTAGCTCAAAAACACATCTTCCACCTCATCCAGACGGGCCGCAGCAGACCTAAAAACCTGCCAGAAAGTGGCAGCACAGAAACTGCCATAGTTTCCTTGACTACAGAACAAAAGAAGCTTTTCTCCTCCCTGTCGCAGTTGTGTAGACCTCAGAGCCCACTGTTTGATGTGCCTGATGTAATGTGCACTGATGTATGCAGGTAGAAATGTCTTAGGGCCAAGCTATGTGTTGTGTCTTGTGTGACAGTTGTGTTAGGAAGTGCCCTCCGCCGAGGGCTTCAAAGACAACATCTGTTAAAACAAACGACCGTCCCGAGAGAGGCCTGCAAAATTAGAGCGCAAACATCATGCTAGGGAAAGAAAAAATATTTCCAGACCAAATAAAGAAGAAGAAATTCAAAGGAAATTCACAGCTTGTTTCACACAGAGACACACTTCAAAAGAAGAGCACAGAAAACAAAGTCCTGGACCTTGGTATTCCAAATGAAACTTGTGTGTTTTCTACCAATCTGCCTGATTATCTCTGGCACGTCACATTCGATCTGAGATATTTTTTCTTATACTTTAATAACACCGCACCAAGTGTCAGTCCTATTTAAAATAACCCTTTTGTACGATCTTTGTAAATGATGCGGGCTTACAAACATGGCATACTGTATGCGAAAACTGTCAATATTGACTGTTATTGCATCATGAACATGAGACAGAATATCAGATACAAGCAGCCAGAGAAGTACAAAAGCAAAGTAAAAACTGTTTTATGAAAACTGAAAAAGTCTTGGCTTTACAATCTGATTTGATTGTGATTCCCTGTAATTTATTTGACCTAATTTAAAACCACTATAGATCGTAAGAAGACGCTTTGTAGCTGAAATTATTAAGCTGTTATAAGTAAAACAACTCATGTCATCCTCCTGTTTAGAAATTAAGTCTTGAAAAATATTTGTGCCATCCACACTGAGAACAATATAAGTCGCTTAATTTAAAATGCTAATATAGACAAGGAATCTGGTCTGCTTAAGCATGAATGAAGAAATAATACAAAAACAAAAGTTTTGGAGCATGTTTGAGTACTGATGGAAATGGTGGGGGGGGTTTTCCAAGAAGGAACAAATATGGTTATGGAATAACAGACCAATTCTTCATGGCATAAATACTGGCTTGAGAACTAGTGACTGTGGAAGTCACCTGAGTACAGTGAACTCATTGTGATATTCAAGAAACCAGTTTGGGATGATTTGATCTTTGTGACATGGAGTGAAGAGGGTGGACATGGTCAGCAACAATACTCCTGTGAGCCTGTGCAAACTGTAGCTTCAGTGTCGTTATTAGCTGACATGTCTCCTCACTGACGCTCTTCTGCATACCTTGGAAGGTATAAAAGTTTTAAATAATTATATACAAGTAATCTCTGTAAGCTAAAAGCTAGAGCTTCAGACTGCCCTAATTTTTTCTTCTATTACTCGGTCTGGCTGGTGTCAGCAAGAGGGGATTTCCTTATATGGTCATTCTCAGGCAAAACCAGAAGTATCAGGCTAAGCGTAGCATGCACACCTGCTCCATCCGACTCAGAGAGTTTAGCCATACGTTGCAGGTTGCAAATGTTTTGGTGGCTAATTAAAA